AAGGTAGTAATCTCTTTGTAAATTTCCTCCTTCATGTTCTGGAAACATTTTTTCTTGTTTCGTTGTGTTCGCTACTTGAATCTTATTATCTCTTCTGGTTTTCTTAAGATTGTTGTTCAGAGTTCCTTTTCCAACATTTCAAGGGTTTCCTGCTCTATGGGGTCTGGTACTTGATTGTGTTCGCTACTTGAATCTTATTATCTCTTCTGGTTTTCTTAAGATCGTTGTTCAGAGTTCCTTTTCCAACATTTCAAGGGTTTCCTGCTCTATGGGGTCTGGTACTTGAGAATTACAGTATTCCTTCAGTGGTGCCCTATCTTTTTGCTTCTTTGTAGCTCTTATGTTTTTTGTTGATGTTTGGTCATCTGGTGGAGCACTTGTTTCTTCTATTACTGTGGAGTGGGCTATGAGGAGAAAGACTTCCTCTTCTGTTTGTAGGCTCCACTGGAGACTCTTCTTCTATCAGTACAGTTGAGTGTGCAGTGGGCTGCCTGTAGGGCAGCCCTGGCTGTTAACTGTTGTGGTGAGCCATACTTGTGGTGGCAGTAGGTGTGGCAGTGGCTATGTTAGACCACGTTGGCTCCTGCTTGGGTATTAGGTGGAGCTTTCCAAAGCTTCAGTCTGGGCTCCCAAATGTGTGCACAATGCTGCTCACCTTGGCTCTTGAGTGGGTGGTGGGTGGGCCTTTCTGGTGCTTGGGTCTGGGCCCTCAGCGGCATGCAGGATGTCGCTCACCTTGGCTCCTGCTTGGGCAGCGGGAAGGCCTTTCTGGGGCTTGGGTCTGGGCCCACTGTGTCATGTGGGATGCTGCTCACTTTGGCTTCTGCTTGGGCAGTGGGCAGGCCTTTTCAGGCCTTGGTGTTATCAGCACCACAGTCTCCCAAGTGAGCCACGGGCCAGCCCTTTGAAGTTATATTTTTGATTTCACTTTATTATGTAACACTAACATGATTTTTTTTTTTTAATATTTAGAAACATTGTGATAGACAGAAAGCAAATCTGCGAATTCGCTTCAGACCTTCTCTTTTCCAACATGTTGGTCTGCATTCATCACTAGCAGGAAAAATTCAGAAACTCACGGTTGGTGATTTAATTTTATTTTCTCATGGACATACAGTTTGTTATTAAGTACATAATTATTGCTTTTCTTCTTAAATATAAATAAGCTATATGTTATTTAATAGCATATATGTCTTTCCTCCTAGGATAAAGATTACATGAAACCATTACTTCTTAAAATCCATGTAAATCCACCTGCAGAGGTATCTACTTCCTTGAAGGTCTACCAAGGACATACACTAGAGAAGACTTATATGGGGGAGGATTTCTTCTGGGCTATCACCCCAACAGCTGGAGACTACATCTTGTTTAAATTTGATAAGCCAGTCAATGTAGAAAGGTTGGTGATTATCAAAGTATATTTGTTTTTATGTTTCAGACCTTATTCGTAATGTGATTTATGATGGAATTTTTTTGTGCATAACAAATATAAGGAGACAGTGGGTCCCAAAATGTTGGGTTACAAGTTACCTTTAGTACAAGTCAGAAACAAAATGAGTGTGTTATTTTCAGATATAATATCAGAATTTCACATGTTTGATAAACTCTATGGGTATTTCTGGACTTTAGTATAATTTTTAATACTTTTGTGTAGAACTCTCTCAGAAATCTTGGATTAGTTTACATGTCCTTATCCCAGAATCACCCTTAAAATTTGACCGAGATCTAGTTGATTACTTCAGCAGTTTGGTTGAAATGATAAATTTGAGGAATACTTCTGTTCTTAGTCAGTAGTTTTGCAAGTGTGGGGTTATTTTTAGTATACCCTGGAGGAATTTACAGTCCTTTTATGTTTTTCAGCATTTATGTTCATGTTACAAAATTTAAGACTTTCTTCTCCATGTTTTTTCTTTACACAGTTGTGATTCCTTAAACATTTTCTCAGTTTTGAGTGTTTCCCAGTATGTCTGTGGCATACTTAGTTACCTGTGGCAGAGTATTCTATGTGTTCTCGTGTGAGGGCCAATTTGATTATTTAGAGTATACCAAAAATCATTTGGAGTAATTCTATTCAGTTTGGTCAAAGACAATGCATAAATGTATGTGATGTAACTTATTTCTCTTTTGTTACCCTAAACTGATTACAAAGAGAAATTTGTTTTTAAAATGTTTTAAGCAATGATAGTAAAATATAGAAATACTTCTTTTTTAAAATTTATTTATTAATCTTATTGTTTTTACGTTCTATGATGTTGTGAAGCAGTTGGGAGGGAGGGGCAGGGGGAAAGGGGAAGGAAATAGGATGGAAGGAGGAAGGAGGAGGAGTAGGGGTGAGGCCTGTGGCACCCCCCTCATTCCCACAGAAGAGACCAGGGGGCTTGCAGCAGTGGCTCAGTCATTGTCGGTCTGGGTGCAGGTGTCAGGGGTGTGTGGCTAAAGCCCTAGTGCCCCACCACCCCAGCTCGGGAGCCAGGGTGCTTCCTGTGGTTGCCGGGTGTTTGTCGCTGAGCTGGTTGCATGTGTTGGGGGGTGTGGCCAAGGCCCTCAGCCCTCTACCACCCTGGCTCAGGGAGCCCAGGGCATTGCTTGCGGCAACTTGGTGGTCACCACTGGGCTAGCTGCTTGTGTCGGGAGACGTGGCTGAGATCCTTGGCCCTCTACCACCCTGGCTCAGGAGAGCCCGGGGTGTTTCTGGTGACACCTCGGTGGTTGCTGCTGGGCTGGTTGCGCATGTTGGGGGTTGTGGCTGAGGCCCAAGGCTCCCCACTGCCACAGCTCAGGAGAGCCCAGGGCACTTCCTACAGAGGCTCGGGTTGTCACTGGGCTATTTGTGCATGTTGGGGAGTGTGGCCGAGGCCTGAGGCCTTCACCATTGGGACTGGTTGCAGGTGTCAGGGGGCATGGCTGAGGCCCCCAGCCCTCCCCGCTCTCTGGCTTGGTAGTCAGGAGACTTCTGGTCCTTCTAGATGTTATGGGTGTTCTTTGGTGATGTGATGTGAGACCTTTACTAGTTAATATCAAACTTTGTCTCTAGTTGTTAGTATTTTGTTTTATTTCAGTTCTGTGTTGGATTATTTGCTGTTCCCACCACTTAAACTCTGCACTGGAACTAATTTGTTGTCCTTTGCTTCCTTCTAAAATGGAGGAACTTACCGTGGGGACCAGCACTTGAGCCGTGTGTTGAGCTAAATTGCTGCTTTAGTGCTGATTCCCTGAGGAAGGCTTTTTGTGCAGCTCAGGTTTTAATGGTTTACTTTATATGTACTTCCGGCTCTCATGATATCTGGTACACCTGGGTTGTGTGGAAACTCTGGTCTGGGCTTGAGTCTTTTCAGCAAACTGCACCCCCTGCAGTTCTCCATTCCTGACCAGTCTCTACTGCACTGACTGGGAATCAGATCAGCTGTCCATGCTGTGCCCCATGTTCCCCCGGTGGGCCTGTCTACTCTACTGCCTGCACTCCAAACACTTCCCATGGGATGAGCCATGTGCCAGTCCCTTGCAAAGACTCACTGGCCTCTGAGTGGCTTTTTCCAGTTGTTGTGGCTCCTTGCTTCTAAGTGTGTCCATGCGAACCCTATTAGTGGTCTTGCTGGCCCAGGGGCCACCAAGACCCTCTTCTCCCCTGCCACCTCCAAGCAACTTCATCTGAAGGGCACAGCTGCGGCTTTTGCCAGCTCCTGCTCTGTGTGCTCAGTAGATCCAGCCTAGAAGTGGCTGGGGCTCAAAATAGTTGGAGTGGTTTTTTTTCCCCCTCTCAGCCTGGCTTCTCCTGCCTTCATGAACTCCGTAGGTCTCTCTTCCTTTTCCCCTGATCTCTAGTGGCCCCAGCTTGGCTGTTGTTGCTTTCTAATAGTTGTAAATTGGTTGATTTGTAGGAGAGAGTGACTCTAGGGACCCTGTATTCCACCATCTTGACCAGAAGCCCTAGAAATACTTTTGAATCATATTTTTCACCTGGATGTATATATATATTTGTTTTGTTATTTAATATTTGTTTTTATACTTACAGTGTTGCTCTGCACTTTGATTTACTGTTTGCCACTCTTAAAGAGTCATCATAGAATTGGAAATGATATAGATGTCTTTTAGTAGGTGTTCGACTAAATAAATGATGTTCCCATGCAGTAGAATGCTAATAGCAGCCATTAAAAATGGTGACATAGATTAATATGTATTGACATGAAAACTTTTCAACATAGACACTAAGTAGGGGGGGAAGAAAATTTTGTAACTCTATAGAATATCCTTATGATCATTCCATAGATGATAGTTATAAGTACAGAATTATAGAATATATAGAATTCTGTACGTATAAAATTATAGATTATAGAATGACTTTCTGAAATAAGAGCAGTATTTTACATACTTTTTAAAGTGTATTTTAAAAAGTTTGTGGAAAAATCTAATTAAAAGGTAATACAAATCTTTCCACGAACTTTTTGAAGACCCCTCATATATTATATACATAGAAAAAAAATCTAGAAAATATATAGCAAACTGTTAAGAGTTGGGGATAACAGAGACTCTTTCATTTTGACTTGATGCATTTATTTGTATGTGTTTTTTTTCAACAATCAATTTAGCTTTAAAAAAATTAAACTTTGATTTTTGAGAAAATATAGTTCACATGCAGCTGTAAGAAATAAAACTGAGAGATCCCATGTACCCATTACCCAGTTTCCCCCAATGGTAACATCTTGCAAACTGTAATGAAATATTACAACCAGGATTCATTTGACAGCAGTAGTCGAGATAAAGAACATTTCCATAAACCCAAGAATTCTCATTTTGTCCTTTAATAGCCATAGCCACTTCTGTCCCACCAGCCCCCATTCCTAACCCTTGGCTGCCACTAATTTATTCTTCATTTCTATGATCTTGTCACTTAAGAAGGTTGCATATATGGAATTTTGCACTATGTAACCTTTTAGATATGACTTTTCTCACTCAGCATTGAATGTCTAGAGATTCATTCAAGTTGTGTGTACTTCATCCCTTTTACTGCTGAATAGTATTCCATGGTATAGATATACCACAGTTTAACCATTAAAAATTAATCTACTATGAACATTTGTGTATAGATTTTTAGGTGAACGTCAATTTTCTTTTTCTTGGAATAAATGCCCAAGAGGGCAACTGCTGGGTCATATGGTAGTTGCCAACTGTTTTCCAGAATGGCTGGACCATTTTACATTCCCATCACTGGTGTGTGAGTGATTCAGCTCCTTTGCCTCCTCACCAGCTTTCAGTATTGTCACAATTTTTTAAACTTTAGCCATCCTGAAAGGTGTATGGTGATAGCTCATTATGGTTTTAATCTGTATTTCCCTAATGACTAATGATGTTGAATATCTTTACATGTGCTTGTTTGCCATCTGTATATTCTCTTTGTTGAAGTGTCTGTTCATGCCTTTTGCCCAGTTTCTTTTTTTTTTTTTCTTTTTCCTTTTTGTCTTTTTTACTGACCAGTAACAGGATCGCAACCCT